TATATATATATATATATATATATGGTGGCCTTCAGACCACAATACAAGTTATCTCTGAATGCACTGGCATTGTGTTTGGTGTCTTTCTCTCTTGTTTAAATGGGATCTAAATGGAAATGGTTTATGTATTTTTAGCTTCTGTTGAGATTAGAGAGATGGTCAGTTCAAATGAGAACTCTAGGCACCTTTCTTGGCTTAAATCCCAGACTTCCTAGATGACTCTAGTTAAGTACCTATTATCTTGCTATGGTTGAGCACAGTACATGAGCTGTTAATAGGCTCTGGGGGAGAGCCAGGAGCAGTTACCTTCACTGACAGCAGCCAGGTGTGCACACAGTGGTTACAGGTTCATATTCCCAGCTGCTTGGTGACTCCCCTCTTAATTAGCAAAGAGGTGAAAAAAGTATGGAACTGCAATGTGTTTTATTGCTCTCATAAGTGAATATAAAGAAGATTAATAGAAAAGTTGTCAAATAACTTCTGATTAGAATCACTGGATTAACTGAGAATGAAGTAGGAAGCACTACTTGCTAGTAACAATGCTGTGTTGTAGCAGAATTAAGTTACTACTTTAATGTATCAAAATAACTTAACAGAAATTAATATGCTGTACTGCTGTATTTAACCAATATTACACTCAAAAAAAAAACCAAACAAAACAAGTAGAGAGTTTGTAGCTTGGACTGATGTACAGCCATTCTGAATGTAATTCAAAATCATTGTTGAGCTTAAGTGCTCCAGAGAAATAAGTTGCTTCAAAGGCTGGACTTCTGTTGCTTCAGCTCTCCTTGATTCCGCCCCTATGAGGCCAGGATGAGAGAGGTGGGACTGTTCAGTCTGAAGAAAAGGCTCCAGGGAGTCCTTATAGCAGCTCTCCAGTACCTGAAGGGGCCTGCAGGAAAGATGGGGAGGAACTCTTTATCAGGGAATGTAGTGGTAGGGTGAGGAGTAATGGCTTTAAAATTATTTAGATTACATATTAGGAAGAAATAAGTTACTATGAGGATGATGAGACACTGGCACAGGTTGACCCAGAGAAGCTGTGAATGCCCCCTCCCTGGAAGTGTTCAAGGTCAGGTTGGATGGGATTTGGAGCAACTTGGTCTAGTGGGAGGTGTTCATGCCCATGGCTGGAGAGTTAGATTAGATGAGCTTTAAAGTCCCTTCCAACCCGAACCATTCTGATTCTGTAATCTGCAACCATAGAAAGCATGTAGATAGAATGAGACGGAATCTTTATGTGAGTAGGACACATAAGAATGGTTTTCAAATGAAGGAACAGGATTTTTTTTTTATTCCTGTTTGCTGAAGTTATGCAGCCATACTATTCTGGAGTTTGGCTATGTGTTAAAAGAGTATAGTATGGCATAAAGTCTGACAGAGGAGAGATACTGACTGCCAGCCTACAGTGAAGTTCCTTGTTCCAGTGACTTTTTCCTGGTGTGTTTTGAAATACTGCATACAGAAACTGATGTTTTGTATTTATTAGCAGCTCAGTTACACATCAGCCATTGCTTATGGCTTGATTTTTTTTCATCAGTGCAGTGAGAGTGTGCCTCTATTGGTAGGGTCAAACTTCACATCATTCTCAAGCTCAGCTAAATCATTTATGTTGTTGTTTATAACTAGGAAGTACTGCTGACTGCTGTAGTACGAGGTGCCTCCTGCTATCAGTGGCTCTCTTAAGCCAGATTCTTCTGCAATAAGTTTAGAACTCAGCCATGAGCCACCAAATTTGATCACAGGCAATTTACCACAACAGTCACGAAGTCCCTTGCTCCTGGCATCTGGACTTTGTATATTTTCAGTATGCTGTACATCTGAAAACAGACCATGCCTGGAAGGGAACACAAGACAGGAATGTATATCAGGAAGACTCAGTTTTGCATAATATAGGATAAATTAGAGAACATTCCCATGCTGTGCTTGATTTTTAGAAGCATATTGTGGACACCTGTGCTGTGGGCTGCATGATATATTTGAATAGGTTGCTCAAGGTTTTACTCCAGTATCTGCTGTGATCTTTTGAGTAAATCCTGTAATTAGTTTCATATAAAATCATACACAAGTATATACATAACTATTCCTTATAACACATTTGAGTTGCTATCTTGAAAGATGTAACTCCCTGCGAGGAGTTGGGAGTTGGACTTGATAATTCTTATGGGTCCTTTCTAACTTGAGATTTTTTTATGATTCCATGGTTGGGTTTTTTTCCTGCATGAGTTCCCTGTGTCATTCAGTGTTCCGCTCATTGGACAGAGTGCAAGGTCTTTAAATGTCAAGTATTTAGCAAGGAATGAGAGTCTGCATATTTGAGGAAATTCTGTCAAGTGGAGAAAATAAAGGAAACAAACTTCAGGAGAACTTGCAATATTTACCTGTTTTTTAACCAATTTTTGCATTTATCATAGTCTATGAAATTGTCATTTTGACACAGTCAAAGTTTACACTGTAGGATAGTTGTCTTCAGGGCAGTATATTTGTTAAAATTTATTTATAGTTGTGATGTGTTTTGAGGCTCTAAACATGGCAAGCTAGGCAGCTAAGTTCAAGGATCTGTTTAGTTATAGCAAATGATTGTATATAGTAAGAATTGGTAGTAGGTTTACTAATGTTTAAAATACCAGACTAGCTGATGACTGTTCCTTTCAAAAGGCAAATAGTGGACTTTGTTCATGTTAAATTATTGTGTGCAACAATGTTTCTTTATCTGTTAAAGACTTAACAGCTCACAAGTTATGTGCAGTTGACTGAAGGCCAATAACAGTTTAATTTATACATGCAGTAAAGACATTCTGAAAAAATATCAGCTTGTCTTAGAACTACTAAGCTGAAAAGATGGAAATGTTATCAGAAATACAAGCTATCAGTTCTCCTGGATACTGATTTCAGTAAGTGTCTAATTTAAATCAGGACAACATTAGTATCTCTGGCTTCCTGAAGCAATTTTATTTTGGTCAGTGGTATTTGTTCTCAATGACTGTACACTATTCAGTATTTTTCTGTTCTCTTGTGGACCTTAAATTTCAACCTGCCAGGACTAACCCATCAAATCTTTCAGACAACAGTTTTAAAAATCTGCTATGCTTGAGCATTTTAAGCTCTGGCTTGAAGAGAACAGCTTTGTTTGAGGCATGTGTGTGTTTGTTTTAAAAAATAAAAACCTGTGTTCAAAAGCAGTTTAGTACTCACTTGTATAACATTTGTAGTTTCTTTGTACATTCCCAAGTAGAATGCTGAGATCCTGTGTATTTGTAGATTAAGTTGAATTAGTAGTTCATAAGATCTTTCCAGAGGTATTAAAACAAAAGGGAATGATTGTTTTAATACCAAAAGAGAGGTTTTCATAGAGCTATAAAAAAAAACCCCAACTCAGCAAGTGACAGTTTACAGAGATTTCTAGTGACACAACTGTATACCAAAGCTCTTTTGCTAGTTTGAGTCTTGAGGTTGACAGAATGTGTGCAACTGTGTTCCAGAGCTGCCCCTTCCAGAGTATCCTGAAATACTTACAAGGTTGTAGTCAGTGCTTTGTGACTGAGTCGTTTATGATGGTGAGTGCAGCTGTGCTTCTGTTTTCAGTCACTTAATTGATTAATATCCAAAGTAATGCAGGTGTTGGTCAATAGTTACGTTATGGTAGGTCAGTCTTTTCTTACTGCCGCTTTCAAATGCTGCTTGCTGTTCTGTTTTACAGAGATCCTAAGTTTGGTCATAGGAAGAGAAAAGTAGGCACAGAAATAAATTCATTTCTCTAATATGCTTCACTTTTTTACTGCATGTCTGATACACCCTTTCAATTAAAACCAAACCAAAATGAAACAAAAAACCTGAACACATGGGATATATAGCGTGTATAAAACTGACCTTAGAGCTGAAAACCAAAGGAGGTGCTGGAACATAGAAAACTTGTAACCCTGTCTGGCTGGGGACTTGTATTACGTATAATTAAAATAAAATTTTGTCTGAGTTTTCAAAATGCTTATCTCTGAATTAAGTGTTAGGCTTTTAATGGGAAGTATTTTAGGAAGAAATTCATAGACTTCATAGTGGAATTTCATGGATTTGCATATATGATATCAGGAAATGATTCTTTAAGTGTCTCAATTATATTAGCGATGTAGATGTAAAAGTTTCTGCAATTGTGTGTCGCACAGGAGAAAATAAAATTAATTGCAGGGTTATTCTTAACATCATAGAGATGAAGGTGAAAACCTTGTAAATGCCTGTAAATCTCTTTCTGAAAACCTTTTGTTTCTTTCTCTAGTGGCCTTTGTCAAACAAATCCACAGTGTGTATCTGCTAACTGATGTGTAATGGAAAAAAGGTCATGCTTGGTCATTTGCTTCATTCTCGGTTTTTCTATTGGGAAGCTTTTTTTTTTTTTCTTTTGAGAGGGGATGTGTTTGGGATGAAATTGTTCACCCTAATATCAGGAAAAGAAAAAGGAGATGGTCAGTTCCACTAGAATTCCTGATTTGGCATCTTATAGAAATGGAGAGAAGATGCTCGTGGTTCAGCTCAGCACTCCCTGAGAAATACACAAAAGGATGCAATGTATAAGAGGACTTCTGGCTGATTTATCTGAATGTGTATGGAAGAAGTGATCAAAATCCTAAGATTCAAGCATACATATTCAGCTGTCACTTCTTTTGCTAGCCATGAGTCACTCTTAATGCATGGATGTATGATAACACACAAAGTTTCATGGAAGGATGTTCAGTCACTTCTAGTAGTAGTTTACCTGACTTAGTCATTGCAGAAACTGTATGGTGCTTACTTAAAATTGGGGCATAGAAGCCTAGTGCCTTATTTGTTACAGAGTAGTAAAACTATTCTAAAAGTAGAATTGCTTTTGCGGCCGGGTTTTCTACAGCTCTCCCTGATACAGAGTAAAGGGAGTACCTTGCAAGCACTTTTTTGGTTTTAGTAGTCTTGAGAGAAAGCCTGCATGTCACTTGCTTTCTAGATAGGTGTTAGAAATTGAGAGATTTAACTACCAGGGAACTTGAGATGCAGTGTTTGAGGTAGGTAAGTGATGTGCTTTTCTGAAAACTTCAGAACCTGAAATTGTAGTTGTCTCTGGCTTTAGTTGCAGGCTCCAAATCAGGCATCCAGATTATAATCAATTAACTCTAAGGAATTTAAGTGATTTGTTTATCTTTGGGTAGTAGCCAAGATAGTGAGTGAAGGTTGGTTTTTTTTTAGGATGATATTTGAGAGGATTTGTTCTTCTTAATTCTTTTGTTTTGTGTCTCAAACCAAGAATTTTTGTCTAGAACAATGTCTATAGGTAATAGAGCTCCATTCCTTAATTTAGTTGATCTTCAGAAGAAAAAAAAATCTTTCTAAAAAATGTGGCACATGCTTACAACTACAACTTGTAGGTAACTTAATGAACTTTTTTCTGCTGTGGTAGTAGTTGAATGGCTAGAGGCTAATGACTGGAAGCTGGTAGTGTTAAGTTTGTGTGAATGTATGCACAACTATTACACATTCACCTTACAGCAGTTTTGACGAGTAAGAACATGTGAGGATTTACTTCAGCTTAGGCAGTTCTTTTTTACATGGCAGAAGAACTTACTAGCTCTGAACTTGTTTGATACTTCTGCTTTGAGAAGTGGAATAATGTAGTATTAATTATTCGTCATCAGGTCTGTGTTCTCTGTTGGCCACTTGAGTGATAACGAGCCATTATATATGCCTCTTGATTGCATGATGGTTGCTAGTGTTCCTGCACCAGAGATTCAGGCCTTTGAGACTCAGTCGAGGTGTTACAGTGGGGTATGACTGAAGTCCTGGGAAGCATTGGCTTTATGACGCACAACTTCTCAGTACATGTTGCAATGCCACAGGAAAGTAACTGAGACACTCCCAGCTGTTGTCTTTTTGAAAGCCAGCAGGCTGCTGGCTCTAGGATATTTCATCCAGTTCCCAGTCTGCTGCTGTGTGTCTCTGAGAGACAATGGCTAGAAGCATACTGGAAAGGCAGGCTGTGGATTTGAATAGCTCTGTTCCACCATGCAAAGACTGTTTACTTAAAATGTAAAGAATGTTTTCCTGGTTACATGTAACTTTTTCATGATGTCTCTATTAAACAGTGATAATATCTTGTTTTTAACTGTCTTAAAGAATGAGGGATATTAATTCAGTAATCTAAGGACTTCTTCTTTTTTTAAATTAGAAATTATGGAAAAATCGGGTGAAGAAGGAATGCCTGATCTTGCTCATGTTATTCGTATTTTAACTGCGGAGAATATCCCTAATTTACCACCAGGAGGTGGTTTAGCTGGCAAGTGAGTACAGTACTGGAATTTATTGAACTGTTTAGTTCATTGAAACGTATACTTTTATTTAAATTTTTTAAAGCTTTCTTATTGTAATGGCTATACTCAACAAAAAAGTTGTTTTTGTATATTTTAAACTAGTTTATGTAGTACAAAAGGTAAACATTTTTGTCACCATTCCCACTCCAGAACGGTAAGAAGAAACAGATTGTTCATATTCTGGTACATAACATACTAATTTACTATTTCCATATGGGCATTTTTAAAAATAAAAAAAATATTTATTCTTGGCTTTTTACTGCTTTACATTTGTTAAGATGTATCAGTAATGTAACCAGAATATCAAAATACTAGATCAATTTCCCTGATGTCATTTTTCCTGCACCACCTAGTGTCCATTATAAGTTTGAGTCAGTGCTTGTTTGCTCAGCAAACATCTTAATAATAAAATTATTTGTATTTGTTTAGTCTTAAACTGATAGATAAGCAAGAATATTCAACTAGGATGTGCCTTTTAAAACTTAATTGGAATAAACATTCAGAAATTACATTGGTTTTCTGAGAAGGCTAATGGTGATGTTTTAACAACATATAATTTAAGGATTTTAATTAACAGAATTTAGGGTTGCATAAACAATCGTTGATCTAGAATTCCCCAAACAGTGAGACCCATTATTGCTCCCTGGCATAGGTCATGTTGCTTCTGGAATCTTTGTTTTTCAGAGTGGGATGTCCTGTCCTCTGAGCATACATCTGTTTTCATTGTGTACTTACTAATGAGCACTGTTTGTCATAATTATTTTTTTCTAGCCTTCAAAGTACCTGTAAGTTTTGTCTTTTTTTTTTTTTTGCTTATATGCATTTCAGGCATTCTGAGAAGTTGTGGAGGGCCTATTTTTCTTAGTGACTCTCAGCCTGCTGAATGAGTTGGTGTGTTTTGTTGTTCTGCTCATAAATAACTTCATCATGTACCGCTTCATTATGCTGGAACCTTTGCATTATAAATTCTATTGCAATTTGTTGTGACCCAGGTTAATTTTTAATGGGCTTAACTTCAGAATGTTCCTTTTGATGCCTTTCTTTCCATTTTGACTTCAGAAGTCCTGTGTTAGAGAAAATTGTTCTAAGTTTGAAGGCCAAGAAAGAATTACTCAGTCCTGTATAATACTCTCTTAAAAGTAGCTGCAGGTACCCCTCCTGAAGTCAAAGACAGCCAGTGGTGTGTTTAGTTAACTTTACTTACAGAACTGACCTCCTGAATGGAAGTTCTGAAAAAGTATGACTATACAACCCCAAACCACATACTGTGTAACTTAAAACTTGTGTCCTAACAGGAGAACGTTCTGTATTGAGATCCTTGTCCTGTGAGTTTGCCAGGACATGAAGAATTCACACTTTATCCTTCTGTTTGAACTCCAAGACCTGGCTCCATGTGGTTGCAGAAAGAGCTTATCTGTCACTGACATCCTTGGGTTTAGCACCAGTCATAGTTGCTCTTGGTTTTTAGTATGTCTGAGCTGGAGAAACACATTGCTATGTTACCTTGACTAGACTGTTTGCAAACCTTGGGAACTGCTGAGGTAGCTCTACTTTTCTTGGCATTGTATACTTCCTTCAAGCATCTCACTTGTGTAAAAGTCTATGCTGGCTTATTCTTTGAGACAGAAGGCCTAAAGGTGTCAACTCTGCTGTGTTCACTTGATGGAGGTGTTTTATCCTTTAAAATCTTACTCTTTGAAGACTGGCTTCTGGCTTGACTTGGATCCCCCTTTACCTTCAAATGCTGCCAAAAGAATGGCCACTTGTTGCTGAGGGAAACAGTTCTGAGCCACCCTGTCACTTGAACATTAGTGCTTCCACTCAATATCTTGCTCCTGAATTTTCCCTTCAAAGGAAAGTACAAAGAAATATGCTGTTCAAAGACAAAAAAGTGAATTGCAAAGCTAGGAAAATTCCCAAAGGCCTGGGTTTTAAGTCTGATTTAAACCCTCTGCAATGGCTCTCTGCTGCTTCTATAGCAGTCTTGCTTGGAGCGTCTAAGTTTTTTTTCCTGTTATGTTGGTGTGAGGTGCCATTGCTTTCTGTAGTACAGACATTTGGTCAGAATTGTGCTATTCCACTGTCACTAAACGTGTTACTAAATGGAGTGAACTCTCTCCTGCATCTTTTGCATGAAGATTCTGTTTCTTTTCTCTAGGAAAATATTCTGTCAGTGCTGATGGATGCCATGCTAGCTCAACCATGCAACCCTTCCAGAATTCTTAAAGTGTTAATTTTAACTGATGTGGCCTTGGAGAAGTTCTGTTCTTTAGAGGACCTTCCATATCATCTATGTGCCACTATAATTTTAATTCTGAACTTTTTCCCTGTACCTCATTCAGACACAGCACAAAACCTTCATCTGTGAGTGAGCACAAATTGCACAGACACCAGTGTCTTGAGGCTTTGAGGAGTTAGGTGTATCTGTTGTGCCTGCCGCCACCTTGTATTGGTGTGGTGTGTCTAGATAAATGCTGATTTCATCATCGACATCTGTTGCCTCTGAACACATGATAGCATGATATCTTTTCCGTGTTACAGATCAGTGGTCATCTTGAGATTTGATGCACTGTCCCTTGCATTCACTGGTCTGCAAACCATCTCCCAGAGTTCTGAGTATTTTAGTAGGTAGTGTCCTAAATGCTGGATCATGATTGGAATCCTGATACATTGTTTTGTCTCAGAAGTCAACATACTTGCAACATTCCATTCAAAATGTGAACTCTTCTGTATTGAATGTGGTTTTGCTTCCACGGTGTGAACAGAAGAACCTCATCATATGGGATCAGACTAAGGATCATTCTGGCTCTGTGTCCTGTTCACAGGATAGCTGAAAGTAGATGCCTATCGTTTTTATTTCAGTTTTCAGCTGCTTACAGCTGAGGTGCTTCCTGATCTTGAGGTAGTTCATGTACTTAGTCACTTAGAATTTCCCTTCAACCAAGTTGTGTGTTCAGAAGGAGTCTTAGCAAACTTTTAGCATCCTCAGTATTCTGGGACAGAAAGTTCTGTTGCATCAGGAACTGTCACTGTGTACTTTTGAGACATTTGCTGCTGTCTTCATTTAATGTCCTTATGCTCTTTCTTTGGAAGAGTCAACAGTCAGTGCTTACTATCTACAGTCTGTAAGACATCTTTTTTATAGATTTTGGCCAATTCCAGACTTGACATTTTGGTTCATGTAGCAGTTCTTTTTTTGTTGAAGCTGTCAAGAATTTTGATCATATTTATTATACTTGTCTGAAGGTTTATCAGTTCTTACTATGATTTGAAGATGTAAGGACATAATCTTTTTCTTCTCAGAAGTTTGTTTACACTTAGAGGGGTTTTTTTGAGAAGCTTTTTGTGCCTGTTTAGCCTGCTTGTGAACTTGTGGCCTTATATTGCACTGCCAGGAAAAACTCAAGCTAGTGGCATTTGGGTTTTAATTTCTACAGTGTTGAATAGACACTAGACAACACATCTCAGAGGCTGTATACTCTGGGCACCATACTTCAAAAGTTCATAGGCAAGCAGTAACCTGTGTATATGTAGTGAAACTGTAGAAAAACCCAACTGTCTTCAAGTTCCACATCCAGAAATAAGGCAAGAAAACCAACTAACTTGAATTTTGTTGTAATAAGCAAATTACAGGTTTAAATTGTTTAAATTGTTGTTTAAATTCCAAAATCTGACTATGTAAAGGGGTAGACCATGGGGAGGGTCAGGTAAGAAAATGTTTTGCTTTGCTTTTAGTCTTTACCAATCCTGACTTAGTGATAACTCTCCAAACATCTTGTTGAAAGTGAGTAAAGACACTGAGAGTGGGCTTCATCTTTTTAAGAGGGATGTTAAAGGCAAAACATCTTAAACACTTTGAAATTACTACTGCACTTAAACTTTAAGTTCTCAATGTTTTGAAATCTTTTGTTCTTAATGTTTTTAAACTTTTTTTTTTAGGCGTAATATTATTGAAGCTGTGTATAGTAGGCTGAATCCACACAGAGAGAATGAGGCGGTAAGTTCCCATTTTGATTGCGACAACTCTTTGTTCATGAGAATGTCAGAGTAGTGTCGTACATTAAGCAAAAGTGTACATAACTGCCAATAGAGCATTATAAACACAAAATATATGTTGTAGCATACAGTTAACTTTGGCCTGATCTGATGTAGAACTTCTCAAAAAGACAGCACGCTGACACCAAATTCTGAAAGACCTTTTTAAACACTTAATTAACTGCTTCTTTTTCAGTCAAACCTGTGAGGCAACAGGGCAGGGTTTTTCTAAATTATAGTTCATTATTGTCAAAAATTATGGTTAGCATATTCACTACTTTACTAGATATTGTGTCTACTGTCCAGGAATCTAGTAGAAGAGGGGGCGGACACACTTCCTGTTGTCTTCTGTAAATGTGAATATAAAAGACAATGAGACTAACATTAGTGACTATTTTAGAGCTTACACTATCTTTAAATATCCCACATGCAGTGGTGTAAGGAAAGTGTAAAGTCATTGTAGTTCTGATTTCTAAAATGGCTTACTGCCCAGTTCCTAATAACTTGAATTTTAAATAGTATGCTGAAATACGGTTTACTGTAACTTTAAACCTGATTACTAGGTGGTTCTTAATCAAAGGAGTAAGAACTGGTGTACATATCAGTTATGGTTAATTTTGTTTAAAAAAGAGTCTTTGGAAAACTGAAGAAAGTATAAAAAACATCTCTGTTTGTACACCTGTTGTCATTTCCTGTACAGTTTATGTGAACTCATCTGTGGAGGTACCATTCATCTTCTAGTAAATCCGTTTTTTTCTCTTCTGAGCTTGCTACAAGGTCCTCAGTCAGGTAGCCATTGCAATGAATGGTGTTCGGGGGTTATCAACTTTTGTTTTAAATATTTTGAAATAATCAGTTGTGCAGCTTGAGATTGTGAATTTTGCAGTGAGACCGCAATATTCCTGTGGTTTTCCCACTGTTACCTTCTCTTAGCTACCTATATTTGGTTTATTCTCTTAAGTTAGAAAGCTTGTGTAGGTGGAAGGGGCCATGATTCTGTTAGAGCACAAATAGAGAGGAAATCTCTACCTTCTTAATCTTTTTAGGATTTGTTACTTTTTTTTAGTTCAAAAGTGATAAAGTACACACTTTTCCTGTAACTTTCAACAAATTGTGCAACAGTACCCCAAAACAAGCTAGACAAATTTTTCCTTTTTTCAGCTGCTTTAGTCCTTCAGGAAACTCTGCACCTCTTTCAGCTTGCTATTACTTTTCATATTAAGCCATAATTTTGTTTCTGCATTGGGGGTAAAGTTACTGGTGAAAGTGGTTTATTTGAAGATTACAGCATAAGATTTGTGAGTTTATTGGGTTTTTTAAAAGGGAGGAAGAAAAAAGTTTGTCTAATGGTAACTTTCCAGAAGTATTACATGCTATAGTTGCATTTATGATGCATCTTTTCTAAGTCCAAATTTACTTAAGAATAGCCATGTGAGCTTGCTGGAAGTTCTACCATACAGTACAGCGTCATTTTGCGTACTGGCTATTTCCAGGAAGTTTTTGTACATCATCTACTATAATGTAAGAAAATGGGGTAACTGACCTAAATATGCAAGTTACTCATAAAAGAATATAGCTTTAACCTTTATTACCATATTACCAAGAATAGAGCTTTGACCTCTATTGCCATTAAAATCCTTGGACAGTTGTTTTGAGTATTTTTGTTTTGGCTGCTTTAATATGAAACATGAGCAGTACGCTCCAGTCTACTTTGTAAACTTTACCTTCTGTTGGTGTTTTGTGCAAATCTTGATAATGATTTGGATGATGTGTTTTAAATACTCTGGATTGGATTATAGTTTGATCTTGTGGTGAGATGTCATTTGCCAGTCAGCACCTTTTCTTCTCACCATCCTAAGCGATTCTGACCCAGAACAGTTTGAAAGGAGGGTGCACCACTGCGTGAAGGATGCAATTCCTGTTTGCACTTTCCCAGCAAGTAGGAATTGTTACGTTACTATCCTTGAAGTGGATGAATTTAGTGGGCCTCATCTCTGAGGTGATCAAAACAGGACTTTCTTGCTAGTCTCTTAGTCTAGATCGCTTAGTCTTTTGAGCTGAATTACTCTAGTGCACAGCAGGGGTAAAAGGGAAGGAAGCTGTTCAGTTACTCAACATCAGACTCTCCACAATGTCTGCACACTGATGATGTTGCTACACATCTCACATTTAAAGAGGAAGGAAACATACAGTACATCCCAATGACATTTCCAAGTGAGACTGAAATCTATCTAATAATGCCCCTGTTAGAAACTAGTATGAAGCAAGAGCAGATCTTCATACTAAAAAAAAAAAAATTATGAGCTGCAGACACATGTGCTGAGTCTGCAGAGCATGAAGGTGCATTGACTTGCACTGGAGAATCTTTCCCGGTGTGTACTTAAGAGCATATGCATGTCTGTAGTGCAGTATGCTGCTGTTATTAACTGGGAAGTCTGCCTGTGACAGTCATCTTCAGCTGCTGTTGATTATATGTAAAGCTAGAACCACTTTTCTGTTGACAAAATAATAGTGTAATTAATTGCTAAAATATTAATGCACATAAGTAATTTTTTAAAAAAACAAGCAAACAAAAAACAAAACACAAGTCCCACAGAAACAAGTCAGACCAACCAGATTAACTTTTGCAGCTGTGAGTATATTACATCCTTCTGAAGACTCTTACTTTTTAGCATTGACAAATCTAAACTAGTTACCCTGAGTCACTGTGAACTGGATCATAATAGCTTTGTAAATAAGTTTTAGAAAGCATACAAATCAAAACTAAGGTGGTATCTTTTTCTAGATCAACTTCTAGAGCACTATTCACCTAGAGCACTGTTTTTACTCAGCAGTGTAAAGATTTTGGTTAGTGTTGTGCATAGATTTTTTTGTTTGTTTTTTTGGTTTGTTTTGTCACCCAAGCTAGTAATTTGTAGAGTAACTGCTTTCAGTTCTTCACATGTGCATTTTCTGAGGATCTTTAACTCCTAAATAAGGAGATATTGTGTAGAGTGAGAGATTGAGGAGTAGAAGAATCCTTACTACAACAGTATTCAGAGATCACTAGTGTGGCTTCAGGGTGTAGCAGTCATAAGGTGTTTTTTCTTCTTTAGGGATCTCAGCAGAATATAGGTATTTCGTAAATCTAAGGCTGGAGAGAGCCCTACATTGGGCTCACAAAGAGCAGAGTCCCAGTAGAGGGACTTCCAGTATAAATGTGGTGGCTTGTGCTCTTACAAGCATGAATGAAATCATGGAAGTCTGTTCTGTATTGGGGCTTGATGCTTTCAGATTTTTAAAGGATTCTAGAAGAACTTCTTTGTAGCTAAATATTTGTTACTTCTGTCCTCTTACAGTACCACTGAGTCCATGTTCTAGTTAACATGTTAAAGTATTACTATTTCTCCTTTGGCCATTTTGTTAATGGTCCTAAGACTAGGAGGCTACTATCCAGTTAGGCTGCTTGGTTGTATATGTATCCTTAAACACAAGGAACAACATTAAAATTACTGTGGTTGTGTTAATGGTTTGTGGCGTTTCTTTAAAGCTGCATTTGATTATCTTGCTTGAAACCAAGTATGTTTTTTTTCTGTTACTACTGTACTCTGGCACTTTGCTAAATCAAATCATATGCCATTAATGGCTGCTGCAGATAATTTTTAAAATGTAAATGGAAAAAAACTTACACCCTTAAACATTGTAAATTCTGCCCCTAATAAGTAGGTAGCCCTTTTTATATACATAATTTAATGGAGCAGAACTTGTGTAAAAATTGTCAATGCTCATGTTAAATATTGCTAGCAAAAACTTATTCTTGTTTTTATGGTCAGTAGCACTAAGCTGAATTAAAACACAAAGGAAGACAAATGCTAACTTGCTCAATAATAGTTTTCAGGGAGCTATTATAGCCACGCATCATTAGGCAGAAATCTGTGTGATAGTGTGCTGTATACAAAAGAGGCTGTTTCTGTTCTACTGTTTGTGAGGTTTCTTGTCTGCTAGCACTGAGGGAGACCGAAGAGCCTGCCATCAATCAGGGTGCAAAGCAAAGCAGGGTGCGAGTTTGAGTATCAAACAGTAGCAACACTGTTACTTCAACTTCTGCTAGCATTTGAATTGTTTGAGGAGAGTCTCAGGGCTGCTATTATATTGCTCATTGCTTTTATTCTTCTGTGTTGCATGGGAGCACAAGTATTCACTTCAATCTGCCAAATGAATTTTTAAAGATGGATTATTAAATGGGGAGATTTTGGGGTATATGTTTGCCAATGTCAACCTTGGAGCAAAACTTGATGGGCTGGAGGAACTATGGAATTTAGATCTTCTCTGAACTTTAAAAAGATGTTATGTTGCCTTGTTTAGTATTAGCTAGATAAAGACATAAATCGTTTTTGGTGGGGGTTTTTTTGGTCAAAACCTAAGAAATAGGTTCATCTTGATGCCCTGAGTTTTCACTGCCTTTGTGCTCATGAGACATTAGAACAGTCCCACTTCATACATGAAGATTGTCTCCTTTAACTTGCTTCTCACTGGACTCTTGAAGAGCTCTCTGAATATGAAAATGCTAGTACATGGGAGTCGAAGCATCCTCTAATGGAAGTATGTCTCTATTGATAAAACAAATTAAGCTTAGAGGGATACCATTATATGCAGTAACATTCATTTTTATGGTAAAATTGTCCCCTTTTTAACTCAGACTGTGCTAATCAGTCTTGAGGCTTCTATTCCAGGAACATTGCAGCATCCAAAATCCTACTGAACCCAAAGTATGTCTTAATGCTGCTATTAAGCTTGTAAATGAGTGACTGCAATGCTTGCAGTTTATGAAGCTTTTGGACTAGATGACAGTAAAATGAGGTCAGCATGAGAAAAAAGCAGTCTGGATTTTGCCTCTAATGCGTTGCAAAATCTGCGAGCTTTCAGAGATACAGTTCAATTTGTCTAGCTTGATAACTTGCTAGATATTAATAATTTAAACAGTACTATTTCCTTAAAGTGACAGTACTGATTTGGCACTTGAAAGTTAAAATATCTAGTTATCAGTCTCAGCACTGTAACAGGTGCGCAAGTCTATTGCAAAAAAACCCAACCGAAAACCAACATTTTTTTTCAACTGAAGGCTTGTATCCAAAGAGGTGGTTTGCAGAGGAGACCTCCATTCCTTAATCAGTGTTTGTTACTCGGGTTTTGTGCTGTAGGTTGCTAGGTTTTACTTTGCATAGCTGTTCTTTCTGCCTGTTAATTTTTCTAGCCAGTGTGCACATCTGCCAAAAATAGTGTCTTATGTTGTTCAAACACCACTGCTCCTGGTGCTGATAGGAGCTTCATAGCAGCATCATGCATACCAAAATCAGTCTTTAATGTAGAGGGATTGTTTTCTAAAACACCTTGAGCATTTATCCAACCAAACTGCTATCCGTAGAGTTCTCTCTTCTCTTCGGTGAGTTTTTCACAGGACTGTGTTGCTATGGGCTGTGCAGAGATTCACACGTACAAATATTGACCTGATGGCTGAAGAAGCTCAGATTTTCTGATTTTTCTCTGGCAACTGACCACAGTTGTGGGGAATATCAGCTGTACTCATCAAAAGACAATTTGAACCAAGATGGACTTAATTGGGAGGAGGTACCATGTTGATACTGTCTAGCTCAAAATAAATGGAAATTCTTAAAAATGCTGTTGTAATAGGTATAATTTCTTAAATCATTGTGTTGTATAAAATAGACAAATTTATATTTTTCCTTAGAATGATGATACTGTTCTAAGATATATGTTGCTAATAAGGTTTTAGATTAAAATAGAGCAAAGCTGATGTTTTCTAAGTTTAAAAAAATGGTTTGTTTTTGTGTTTGTTTTTTTTTTTTGTCATTAGAAAATACCCTAGTTTAACTGCTGATTTTTTTGGGGTCTTGAATCTTAAAAAAAGGACCCAGGTGAAGCCGAGGAAAGTGGAACGCAGGGAAAATTGGTGGAAGCACTCAGGCAAATGAGAATTAATCACAGGGGGAACTACCGCCACCTCCTGGAAGAGATGCTGACTAGTTACAGGCTAGCTAAGATGCAGGGAGAAGAGTGCACTGCTGAATCAGCTGAGTCAGCTGCAGATGCTGCATCTACTTCAGATACTCATGCTGGACCCAGTCAACCCGCACCAGGCACCCACACAGAATCTGAGAACCACGTTGCTGAAATGCAGAGCTCAGACGAAGATTCAGGGATGACTGAGATGAGCGATAAACAGACATAACGTTTTACAGAGCGGATTTAACGCTTCGCTTCTCTTGGCGTGTTTTCCTTTGTTTATATCTCAGCATTTGTCACATCTATCCTAGAAGTCTGTTTGTTTTTACTTGAGTTATTTGTACAGATTGTTCATACAAAGCTCTTTTTTCTTTAGAAGTTCAACTGCTGTGGTGTATTATAGTAATTGCGTCTTATTTTGTGTAGCAAGCAGTTAACTTCCCATTTGAGATTTAGATTATTTCTTTTAAATCCTGTGATGCCAACAATTGGGTTCTAACAAGGCAAAAATGAATTTTAGTTTTTCTTTTACTTACATTCTTAAAGAATAGTTTTTAGAGCATATGTTTGCTAATTGTAAAGTAATTCACATCTTAGTTGTTTCTTTTGTGCAAATTAATCAAGTTATAAAAATTTTTCAGTCTTTTTTTTCCCCCAGCATCATATACTGCATGTTTGTATTTGAGTTGTGTATAGTTTATATTACAACTGAATAACAAAAGCTATTACATTTTAGGTTGTCACTTATTCTTCATGAAGTGTTTTATTTTTTTCCGATTTAGATTGTATGCACTGTTCATCATAAATATCTGTTTTCTAGACGACTGTATTATTACTTCCCAGGTTGTAGCATAACATATATCCAGAAATGAAACTGTACTTAGATTTAGTACCTAGTGTCAAGTTCTAAGAATTTGTGTTTAAGTGAAAATAAAGAATATGCTGTGGAATAATCTGTATGCATATGGACTCTTTTAAGCAAGTAATAAACTTCCTTCCAAATGCTATCACTCCGACATGACTTGAAACTTTTCATAGCTTCTGATATTAGCGCATGGTGTTCATTATTTTCTACAAATATTTGAATAATTTTGGGTTTGTCACATTCATCATAATCTTCTATTTAGTTAGAATTTCTCAGATTCAAGTTTAACGTCAGCCATGTGAATGAATAAACTACCTATTCTACCTAAGTTTACCTTCTACCAAATCTTTTCCGTGTCTTTTGGTGTATGACACACGTATGTACGTGCATTCGGGTAGATTAGTGAAACTAATTGGAACTCTCCAACTGGGAGTTTACAGTGGTGGTAACCAATCTGCTCGTAAGTTAGATCTAGAATTCTAAAATTAACACTTGCACAAAAATATAATTGTTCAAAATAGGTACAAATATCACTGCATTAATGAGCCTGTGGGAAATCCTTGCGGACCGGGAATACCTGGAGAGCTGAGTTCCGTAGTGTTTCGTAGATATATTTTTGTAGTCTGTAGATGTAGTATCTATTGATACCAGTAATTTAGCACAATTTTAGATAATAATTTTAAGCTTTTATGGTGTAATAGCTTTACTGACTTCATGGTTTATAAAAGTGAGTTCCCTCGTGAAGTTGAGGAACGGCGAATGTTTGTGTGTGAAATTGGGCAGGTATGGGGAAAAAAGGAGAATGTCGTGTCTTGTGCTAGTGTTCTGCTTAATTACGCCAGTGAAAGCCGAAGCGCAACAAAATGTTTTCATTTGTATTGGTGAGTAGTAATATTTCTCCTCTTCTTTTCCTGTAGGGTGCTGGAGATCTAGAAGATCCGTGGTAGCCTTACAAATCTACTAAAATGCTTTTGATTCTGAAAGGGGGAAAAAAACTTTTAAGTCTGTTTTCTTCAATACAAGGGAAAAATTCTGGTGGATTTCCAACATTCTGTGAAATGGGCAGAAAGATATTAGAATTTTCCATCATTTGTTCATTTTTGTGTTTTCTGATATTGCCACTCTTAGCATTGCCTGTACTACAGTATTTTTACCAGCCTCAGGCATACTGGTTACATCTGTAATGAACTTTGGCCCTAAGAAGGAAGGAAGGAAGGAGTGATTCTCTCAGCAGATGGGTGTATGTCCCTGAGGTGCATGGGACTGTAGGTGTACTCTGAAGATACACACTATGGCTAAATGGAATGTGCAACACACAAGCATGAGAGAGTACAAGTAATCGTTTGAGACTTACTTATTTCACTTTACCGAGTTGGAAGGCTTTGCAGCTCTGTGGCTTGGAAATAATTTCAGTTGGGCAATATGCTCTCAGATGCGTTGGGTTTGGGTTTGTTTTATTTTTTTAATTCTCCAGTTTTACCTGTATTACCAGACCATTAGGTTTCCCTGCGGTGTCCAAATTGTGATCTATTGCCTACTGCTTGCTTGAAGATAAGTGTATTTGGCAATAATGTATGAAGATTCTAGGCATCTGAAAACAGTAAGAATTTTACGCATGTGTACAACACACCCTTAAACTCTTGCTAGAGAAAATCTTTTAAAACCAAACTGATGAATTTTTAGTTAGTAGTGACTTGCTTTGACATCTCTCACAGCTGCAGGTTTTTTAAAAAATGCTGAAAATTTGCCTTTATTATAATGTAAATTGTGATTATTTTTTGTTCTATATGTGGTTTTCTATAGTTTTTTGATTTTTCAGCTTAAGATACAGACAGAAGTCTTGTGTAATATGGGTATAATTTTTAATTGTTTGCATTATTTTCAAAGTTCAAATTATCACTTTGAGATTACTATAAATACACTTAAAATTATCTATTTTAAATTAAGAAAATATTAGAGATATTTTCATGGGTTCGATGACCTTTCATTTTATAAGCAATGGGCATGGTACAGAGTGGCTGTCATGTAAGGTACTTGAAGATTCTTAGTTTAATTCTATTTTTGCAATAACCTTGACTTTTTTTCTGACTTTTGAGTTGTGCATGTAATGAGTCCAGTAAATGCTGAAACTGGGGAAGAGTAAAGTATTTATCTAAAATAAAAGCTATCGGGGAGGGGAAACAATGAATGTATCCATCTGTACATGACTTACATGCTGTGGATGCCTTGTAAACATTTTCCTATTTGTTTAAACTGTGTTTCAGCGAGGATGTAATTGCCCTTGTGTGTAGTTTTAAGCTAATGACAGTCATCAACTGGTTTTGTGTGAAATGGAATTCATGGTATTTTTCTGTAACTTTATCCCCCATGGTGAGTCTGTAAAAACCACACGCTCTTTCATACTGGTGCCGAAGGCCAGCTCTCCCAATCATTTTGATTCACTGTGTATCTGATTTTATTTTTTTTTTTTGGTCTAGAGAGGATTATTGCCACAGTATATTTTATTTATTCATTAGATTTTAGCCTTGTAAGTTAAAGTGTTCTAAATGATGATGTTAACAGGTATTTGTCCCTTTACTGGTTTTTTTTGGGGTTGTTAAAAGATAGGGAATGAAGAATGCAAAATGGTTTATTGTTCAGACTGTCCGCTCTGGTCCAACCCTGTACTGATAGTACCTTCCCGTATGATATTGTGATGTTTCATACAATACAGTGAACATAACCAACTTGTTATCTTCAATAAAGGATTGCTAAAACAGTGTGATACGCTTTATATTTTCTTGAGAAGGATTTATCAAGAAGATGCAAGGGTTGTATGTAAGAAGATAATTAAATGGGTTTTATGAGGTGTCTCTTAGTGATGTGTGTCTCTTAGATTTGTGTTTGTCCTGTAGCGAATGTGAATCGTCGTCACAATGAGCCAGAAGTCTCCAAGTGGGCTTCTCCATGAGAGGCAGAAGAGTGCAAACAACACTTAAGGCTCCTAGGGCAAACGCATCCCAAGTTCAGCTGGAATGAGTCCTGTTCCAGCTACAGGAGAGCGTTCATTTCAAGACCAAAAGTTCAGATGAAACTTGACTTTTTAGTCAGCACATTTCTTTAAGTTTCTTAAAGATCTGAGGTTAGACCTATAAAGTTTTACTTTTGTACAGCATTTTGGATAGAAATTTCTCTAATGTGACACTCTCATGTTAAAACTTTCACTGATTGGGTTGTTTTTTTTAACTTATTAGCAAAGTTCTTTAGCTGGGTGGGAAAGGAGAACAAAATCGCCCATGTTACTGATACCGAGTGGTAATAACCTGTCAGAATACTTAGTGTTATTGTGAAATATGAGTATTTATGAACATCTTGTAGATTTTTGAGTCTGTAAGTCAAAGTTCTTTGAACTTTTTTGTTGAATCTGCTTGTACAGCATAGCCCCTGCATGAACTGCCGTTTTAATACCTTGTTCCAGTGGAAAGATTTCTTGTACTCCATAGGCTCCAGTCCTATGAACACTTAGGTGTAGTTTTTTCTCATCGTGTGGATAGTGTCCTCGAAATAAAAGGGTTTATGCTTTTATTGTATTGGAGTGAAGCATGCACATATGGTCCTTCTCTTTGAAGAACCTAGCTTGCATAGCTACAACAAAATGTAAATCAAGACCTCTTTTTCCCCTCTAAATTAGCACTGCTTTCCATTCATTTATCCACTGGCTTCAGAATTTGAATGTGTTTAGTTTAATCAAAATACTGTTCAGGTTTCAGCAGCCTGGAAAAAACCCAAAAATTATGCTTCCTGGTTGTGTATTCTTAATGTGAGAAGTCTGAGATGTTTTATAAAATCTTCCCATGTATTTTGCTATATGCCTTAATTTGTCGATTTTAACACTTGTTTTAAAATTATGTTCTCTTAATTACGTTGCTGCCCAAGAACTAACATAAAGATACATGTTCTACGGGGTGAGGAGTCTGCTCCTCCACCACCTCAGGTCCTTCTGACATATCAAATTGAGCTTGATTCTTCTCATAAATTTTGACTTCTCCTGTAACAGAGTAGTTCTCAAATCTGCTCTCTGATAATCTTAAGCAAAATAAAGTTTTGTTTTAACTGATCCTCATTAACATGTAAAATAGAATAGGGAATAAAGAGTTGGATGCAAATCTGATCTTCTCAGAGGTTAACTACAGTGAAAATCTTTTCTTAATAGAATGGATCCTTGTGTGCTTATTCAAGCCTGCATATAAACCTTTGCAGGACTTGGCCAAACTATCCATACTTTTCATGTCCTTTATGTGAAATGTTGTTGCTATTAAAGTGAAGGAGGAAAAAACCAAAATCATAGGTGAACTATTAGTGAGTAGGTAGCTTCTTGGTATCACGTGTAAAGTGACGCTAAGTCAGACGCTTCATCTGTGCGCCGCCTTATGCTGTCAGCCATAATCACTGACTTAAATCTTAAACAAAAAAGTAAAATTAGCCCCAGAAAACCAGTCATTTTTCTTTGGCATTTTAAATAGGATCTCAAGGTTTGTTGCAGCATTGAACCAAGGTTTAGTTGGCAATTTTTACTTCTGGAAGCTGAAGCAAAAAATA